AGCCTACAGGCTGAAACAACCTCAGGGAACATGGTTATGTAACGTGTCAAATGAAAACTGCACATTTTTCTATGGGTCAATGGGAGAAATGTCCTTTGCCTTTTATTGATGCAAGCTAGTATTAGAGTCACAATTAACTGAATCATTTACGTTTATATTCAGGAACATTGTGACACTGATTGACCTGCAATCGCTCAAACTCAAGAGGTTCTTGTCTCGTCAATCTTTGGCTCAGCCATGCATCGTCATAGGTTCATTATGTAATTCTTTAAGTGAGAGTTACACACAGGTGTAGAAGGAAAGTTGACAGTGATGCAGTGGATGTGTTTTTGCAGACGCTCATTTGCATCTGCTGATTTCCCATTCAAAAGCACTGGCTCGATAACCTTCAGCATGAAAGACAAGGGAACATAAAATCCTACGCAAAACATTGTCTTTCGGCTCTCTCTGTATTAAATAATACAACACAGCTTGCTTTGCTGCAAAATGATCCACTAATGCCAACTTAGCACAAAAGCTGTATCTGAAGTGGCATATTATTTACTAGAATAAAGTGCATTTACACTATTTAATGTTGCACAGAGGCAGTATAAATACATTTACATAAAAATGTCAGTGCATAAATAAAGTTATTAATTAATTTGAATAATTAATTTTAATTTTAGTTAATTCGTTTTAAATATAATACAAATAAATTCAAATATTTGAGATAATTTTAAATATGAAATTATGAACATAAAAAAGACATGAAAATGTAAAATTAAATAACTAATTAAAAAAGCATTTATCTAAATACATTTAAAACAATAATAAATTTTAAAGCTGCACTGATGCTGCATTTCTTTTACACAGAACCAAAGCAGCATCAGAGCTGCCACTTATACTAGGGGAGCTGAAGTGGGTCAGAGCTGCATATTTTAGAGTATTTATACAGAGTTTTGTGCCTTAAATAACAAATAAGAATCAATGTGTTCTATTTAATATTTTTTGTCCCAAAAGGAGTTCTATTAGTGAAAAGGTCACCATCAAATCCCCCGCGGGGTATAGGTATAATAATGATTATGGAGGCAAAATCCAGCCAGAGAGATGGTATTTTACACATCAAGCGTAAAAGAGTATGTCACGTCCCATCCCAACTCTTCTGTGCTGATCTAAGAGCAGCTTAGTTAACGTAAACTCTGATTTTTTTTCTTATGCTGATATAAGAGGTCAGCATGGTATGGGTCAGCTGCTGTCTATTGGCTGTCTGCAGTCTGAATTCTAGGGAGGAATGTAGCATGCCACTGTGGGAGCAATACAAAAATGTGCATGGGAGTGAGACCGCTGGTCACGACTGCTGTTCATCATTCAGCTGCAGCTTTGAAAGGCTCCAGAAAGATTAAAAATGAAATGTTAAAAAATGAAATGAAATGATTATTGATCTGATTCTGACAGAGGACCGGGATACAGATGAAACTTGTCTGTAAACAGAACATGAAATACTTTTCACATTGATAATCACCTCATCAGATTGCATGTGAGTGGCAACTAATCAACTCTTTATTTTTAATTCAATTTTCTGCAAATAAATCTATATTCATTCAGAGACACTACAGATACATCTGCTAAAATATAATCAAATATTACTTAATGCATACAGAAAATGTGGACAGTATACAATACATACTATATTCTGCAGAAATAGTAGACACTAGACTGTTATGCTAACACTATATTCTGAACATACCTCTTATTTCTGTTGTGTAAACAAGCAAAACTTGCTACTGGGGTATTTTGCACAACATAAGAGCACAAAAGTGCCACAATCAGACAAACTTCTGATACAGAATTATGCAGTTTAGTACTGCTGCAGAAGGCTTTTGGGAACAGCCACCTGGAAAAGGATCTGTGCAAGAGACACGGAGCTTCGATTAAAGAGACCGCGACCACAAATACTGGAGGAATATTTCTTCTTCCTGTCATGCGGTTTCGTGCATCCAGGTACAAAGCTTGTCCAAACAACTGTCCAGTCTGGGTTATTTTCAACGTTGGTAAAAGTTATGAGACTTTTCTCACAACCTCATCTGATCTATTAAATTGCATGTGAACAACTATGAACATGCAATATGTTCTTTATGGCTTTTCTCAACACATATGTTTCCTACAGTAATAAGACCAGCCTATTCAATATGGATAGTTTGAAATAACTATCCATAATAAATAATATCCATTATTATCCATAATAATTAATAAGCAGTTTTTCATACATACAGTACATTGATTCCGAGCTACCAAAGAAAATATTGATAATATGACAGAAATTTAGTTCTTTTGTTCTATCTCACTGACATCATAAAAGTTCAATCAATAAAGGGGAGACCGGTGCTAATTGTCACACTTTTTAATGAGCATTTCTCAGTTATTTTTAAAGTTGTTGTCTGTATATGCACATATTGACTAGAAAAAAAACACTATTTAACATTTTCAATGTTACTGCTCAGAGACAAATGATAGCCTACAATTCACTGAACATAGGTTAACCTTTTGTGCAAACATTGTTACTGAGATATGACCAGTGTTGGGGGTAAAGCATTACAAGTAACGCGAGTTACGTAATCAGATTACTTTTTTCAAGTAACTAGTAAAGTAACGCATTACTTTTTCATTTACAAGAGAATATCTGAGTTACTTTTTCAAATAAGTAACGCAAGTTACTTTTTTTCCAATTTATTGACTGACAGCTCTGGTGTCCCCATGTTGAGAGAAATCAGATGTTACTGTAGTTCTAAAATAAATATGAATATGCATTAATTCATCTCACTCACAAAAATACCCCAAAAACACAGATTCAGTATTCCTCAAAATGAATAAAAAATAATGCAACTCAGAATATGACGCAAACCTGCAATAATTAAATGTTAAACAACACAAATATCCTTTATGTATTTAATCCCATTCTATTTGCTTCTGACCTTCAATGAAACAGTTCAACCGTACTAATGAGCACAAATGACTCTAGACAAACATTTGTGTGTTTTTTTTAGTGCTGAAGTATGTTGAAATTTCTTTTTCTGCATTCTACTGTACGGACGTAAATTTACTTTCCCTTCAGCCTGAGGCTTATTCATTTCACTTTTGGTGTGAAAAGGCTTTTATATTTGCTAAAAATAGAACTTTTTTATTTTAAAAACAAACAAGCAAGCCCTGTCCAGATTTAAAAAGTAACGCAAAAGTAACGTAACGCATTACTTTCCATAAAAAGTAACCAAGTAACGTAATTAGTTACTTTTTTATGGAGTAACGCAATATTGTAATGCATTACTCTTAAAAGTAACTTTCCCCAACACTGGATATGACCCTTCTGACAACTTCTCATGTGACAACAAGCCCTGGTCTCCCCTACTTTAATGTGTATAGGATTTTTAAATCAGAAACGTTTAAAAGAGAATAAAACATACAAATATGTTTTAAAACGGCAACTGTTTTCTGTATAGACAGCACACTAGATTTGGAGATGCAGTCAACACAATCTACAAAACCTCGTAATATTTCTCCTTCTGACAACTTCTCATGTGACAACATGCCCTGGTCTCTGGTCCTGGTCCCTACTTTAATGTGTATAGGATTTTTAAATCAGAAACGTTTAAAAGAGAATAAAACATGCAAATATGTTTTTAAACGGCAACTGTTTTCTGTATAGACAACACACTAGATTTGGAGATGCAGTCAACACAATCTACAAAACCTCGTAATATTTCTGAGAAAACACTTCCCTGCAATATTACGTAATTTGCCACTCTTAAAGAGTAGCCTAACAGGCAAACTCTTAAAATGTAAAAATAGCCTATGTTATGATTTTGCAATCAGCAAATGTAACGATAAAATTTGAGTTCATATATATATATATATATATATATATATATATATATATATATATATATGTTTTATTTTAATTGGCTACTACGTCATTTAAAGTTTCTTTCTACATGCGTACTTCCAGAAGTATGCATACCTGAAATATATATATATATATATTTTAGCTGCAACACAATTAAACACATGAAAATGTCAAATATGACGTCTTGCCTATTTGAGAGCGGAAGAACACACCGCAGAACTGGTGCAGGTGACCGTCCTTCTGACAGGTTCACAGTTTACATCGCAAGAAACATCATTAAAAAAGAATGTCTTACCTGTATTATATATGTCTTTTAGGGTGGGGTTCTGTCTTGTCTTCAGACAGAGAGAGAGAGAGTACACACTGATATTCCGAGACTTGTAGTGTTTCACTCACTAGAGGTAAGTGTATACTCAGTGTCCCTCTACTTTGTGGAATCGTTAATGAAGGCGACTGAAGTCATACGGCAGCGAGTCTCCGCCTCCTCCTGCGCTTCAGAGAAGTACCTTTCATTCCCATAATGTCAACGCGCTTTCTTTGATGCCACCTAGTGGTTTGAGGTGGTATCTATCTATCTATCTATCTATCTATCTATCTATCTATCTATCTATCTATCTATCTATCTATCTTAAACTTATTGTGTATATATTTTTTTAATCCATAAAAACTCTATTCGTTTCACTTTTAAAATAATATAAAACACAGATTATGTTTAAACACATTTTTCAAAAACCAAAAACGTTCTACTCATTTCCCTTGTAATGGTGAAAGATTTTGTTTACATGCAAATGACTGTTAAAGGGGTCATATGATGCGATTTCAAGTTTTCCTTTCTCTTTGGAGTGTTACAAGCTGATTGTGCATAGATAAGATCCCTGAAGTTGCAAAGACTAAAGTCTCAAAACCAAAGAGATATTCTTTATAAAAGTTAAGACTCTGCCATGTAAAAAAAATTAAAAATTAAAAAAACTGAATCCAGAAAAATTAAAACCTATTTCATAGGGCCCTACAAATATCATGCATCTGAAGCTATATTTTTAATACTAAGCAACAGTGCAGAAATGAGCCAAATCGCCTGAACGAAAATCTTCCTGGATAATAAAGCAGACTTTTATTTTGTTGGGACTTGTATTTTGAAATGTCGCGAGAACCGTCTGTTAAGCGGAGGCATATGCGTTCACGCTGGCTAGCCGCAAACTTGCATCCTTTTAGAAGCTATGTCAAGGTTAACTAACAAGTGTCATTGTCTTTATTTACTTAGCTTGAGCTCCACATGGAAATGTCACCAACAAGCCTCCAGACTGTCGACAATGAGAAGTGGCCTTGAAGTGAGTGAGTTGTCAACAAACGTTTAGCATGAATTGCATTGTCAGTCTGCGCCGTGGCAGGTTATGATTTTGACTCTTATTTGTTGTAAAGTTAAATGTCTTTCGTTGTTTTGTTTTTTTTATAGAGAACACGTCTATTATATAAGGTCTGGACAGACTGACTAGCTTTATTTTATTTAGGTGCTTATCATAAAACTTTGCCTGGTAAACAAACCGCTCTTGCAATATAGTTATATGATTCTGGACTTTTACGCTGAATTGTAGTCCAATTTTGATTACCTTAATTAGTGTAACTGTTTGTGTTTTAGTTGTCTTGAATTGAAAGTCTGTTTTTTTTGTGACTCGTTTGTTTTAGTCAATATGTGGTGGCAGATTTAGGAGTATTTCTTCAGCACAGACAGTCACAAGGACCTATGGGTGTGGAGGACATTCACAGGTAACGAACACAGATCGTTTGTGCCTTTCAGTAAAAGCTAGAATATTTACATCAAACATTACATTTGAGCTACACTGGAACAGGAAGGGATTAAGGAATATTGGGCCTCATTTATCAATCTAACGTAGAAACGAGCGCAGATCTGTGCGCACAAATCAACTTACGACAGAGTTCACGTGTGATTTATGAAACATTCATATGCCGCCAATCTCATCGTACGAATGATCGCATGTTGATAAATGTGGCGCCAGAAAACAATCGTTATTTGAATATCACGCCCCTAAAAACACCCATGTACAGTATTTGAAAAATAATGTGTTTTTTGAACATTAAAGCATGTCAACATATTCTGTTACACCAAATACACAAAATAATGATCTTTAAAAAAGCATCATATGACCCCTTTAAAAGAAATGAGCCAAATCGCCTTAACGAAAATCTTCCTGGATAATAAAGCAGACTTTTATTTTGTTAGGACTTGTATTTTGAAATGTCGCGAGAACCGTCTGTTAAGCGGAGGCATATGCGTTCACGCTGGCTAGCCGCAAACTTGCATCCTTTTAGAAGCTATGTCAAGGTTAACTAACAAGTGTCATTGTCTTTATTTACTTAGCTTGAGCTCCACATGGAAATGTCACCAACAAGCCTCCAGACTGTCGACAATGAGAAGTGGCCTTGAAGTGAGTGAGTTGTCAACAAACGTTTAGCATGAATTGCATTGTCAGTCTGCGCCGTGGCAGGTTATGATTTTGACTCTTATTTGTTGTAAAGTTAAATGTCTTTCGTTGTTTTGTTTTTTTTATAGAGAACACGTCTATTATATAAGGTCTGGACAGACTGACTAGCTTTATTTTATTTAGGTGCTTATCATAAAACTTTGCCTGGTAAACAAACCGCTCTTGCAATATAGTTATATGATTCTGGACTTTTACGCTGAATTGTAGTCCAATTTTGATTACCTTAATTAGTGTAACTGTTTGTGTTTTAGTTGTCTTGAATTGAAAGTCTGTTTTTTTTGTGACTCGTTTGTTTTAGTCAATATGTGGTGGCAGATTTAGGAGTATTTCTTCAGCACAGACAGTCACAAGGACCTATGGGTGTGGAGGGCATTCACAGGTAACGAACACAGATC